GCGCGGCGCGCGCGCGGTCGCGGCGGCGGCGACGGCGGAGGGGGCGGCGGTGGCGGGGGCGGCGGCGGAGGCGGCGGCGGCGGGGATCGATACCGAGACCCCGCGGAATGCGGAGCGGTAGAGGGCGTCGACCTCCCCGTCCAGGGTGCTGACCTGGCGATTAAACAATCAGAGGGTCGGCAGTTGCATGGTGTATGGAGGTTGCCGCTTGCAAACGGGGATGGGGGTGAGACGCAGCGGCACGTCTGCTTGGGCGCCGCAGAGCGCGGGGGGTGCGGCGGTGCGGATGGGGCCAGTGACAGCAGGCTGCCTTGCAAGGCGCGCAGAGCAATGTGCATGGTACGTGCATGCAGGCGCAGGCAGGGGGACGCAACCGGCGGGGCGAAAATGGCCGCATGCATCCGCCCCTGATGTCATGCTGATGGCAACTCCTGGGCAAACGCCGACTTTGCCAGCATCGCCAAGGCTTGGAAGCCGTCGAGGCTGCATCAACACGCCCGTACGCAACACCATGCCAGGATTCAAGCCCAGGCAGCCCGGATCGACATGCACGGCGCCTGCCCCTGTCCTCGCCACAAGCTGCGCGTATGCGCGCTTGGCGCGCACCTCCGTCTGCAGCCCAACGAGTCTGCTGCGCAGCTCATCAATGCTGCCGACGACTACAGAGTCCTCCGGCTCCTGCGCTACCGCTTCGAGCTGCAGTTCCTCCACAAAGCGCTCCGCGTTGCTCTTCTGTGGCTGGGTCACCGCATTTACCCGACTCCGGCCGCGTGCTGTCAGGCTGTTCCGGCGCGGAGCGAGAGGCAACGGAGCTTTGCAGGGTCCCTTGTTGATCAGGGCACTCCCGCGTACGGCTCGGTGCGCCCTGCTCGTGCTGAGGCTGGAGATCTGCATTGCAAGCTCAGCTGCTTGCCATGCGTATATGATGAAGTGATAGCGACAAATTGTTTTGATTGGATTGACGTGCTGCACGGAGGATGCCCAACGCCGGCGGGAGACGGACGCTGTCACTGAGTCACCTGCCCGTGCAGTGCTGGCAGCACCCGCACCTGTGACCCTTGCTCAAAGCTCTTGTCCAATAACCCGTGTGCAGGACGGTGGTCCAGTTGACAACCGCATTATACAGGACCGCTGAATCGTACCTCACTGGACCAGAACACATGGGCGGCCGAGCCTGGTGATTCGGTACCGCAGTGCGGGTGCAGGGGTGTGTTGTGCGCGCCCTCCCTCACGCCCCCGCACGCCAGCAATGAGCCCCGCACGCAAAATCATGGTTCTCCGGGTCCGTTCATGGTAGCATGCACCCCTGCCTTCACGTATTGCCCCAGCATGCCGCCGTTCCGCGGCGAAGGAGCGTCTGCAGCTGTGCGAGCGTGCCGTCAGCCGCCCAGCAGATGGTATGCCAACAATTGCTGGAGTTGGCTCACGGCTGTCGTGGGATAAGCGACCCGCAGGGCTGCCACAAGAGGACTGTTTTCACTGCAGGGCCACGGCATGGGAAGCGTGCTCGGCTCCCAGCGCTGCAAAGCCGGCATCTGCGTTGCGTCAGCGAGAGAAGCTCGAGCTTAAGGGGACGGCAAGGGGTGAGCACCCCTTGGTTGAGCCTCTTGAACCTGCAGCCAGGCACTGACTTGCTGAAAGAGAGGGGCGCACTTTATGGCGGGATGGAAACAACCTGTGCCAAGTGTCACTGGCTCTTCGAGGGAGTGCTGTGAAGCCAGCACTGCCCAGATGGGAAGCTTGCCACTTGGATGCTGCTCGTGGACTTCAAGCTCCGGCCATTGATTTGTAAGTATATCCTTTTCTATCCATACTTTTGCGATTCAAAACTCCCTCTCCCTTCCTTCCATCCTCCGGCGGGTACTACGTAGCAAATCCGCCACGCAGCTCTCCTGTTCGTGACAGTCCCTTACGACGCTGGACTTTGTCGCTCGAAGTTAACAGATCATGATTATAAATACATCACCCATGGCAGTCGCGAGCGTGACGCGCAGCGCGGCATGTGCAGCGTTCGCCCTCAGCCCCTCAGCAGTGCAGGCCAGCACCCAAGCGCGGCGTGTCTTGGAGCTGCAGCAGATGGCGCTAGTGCCGCTTGGCTGGGAGGGCTGGTGAGCGGGCGTGTGGCCGCAGTCACGGCGCGGGCCTGGACACAGCGCGCGACCGCCGCACTTGTGCCACACAGCAAGGGCTTGCCAATAAGAAAAGCAGGAAGTGGCTGTGCGGCTGGTGCGCTGCGCACGGCAGGTGCAGAGGCAAGCCGTTGCCTGCGTGCAGTTTTGCACAAATGCCAAGCCTTGGACTTAGCAACCACCATCCACCACCCAATTCGGGCCCCAACCCAAGGCGCCCCAGCCTTGATTACCGGGAGGATGCAGCCGTCCCCTGCACGCAGCCCGGCTGCCGCCTGTTCCACGCCGCCGCCCCCGACGGCGGCCGCGCCCTCGTCAAGTGCTGGAGGCTGAGGCAGCTGGCGGCGGATGAGGGGCAGTTCCTCGAGGTGGGACGACACTCGCGGTGGCCAGCCACCTGCCCGTTGCAGCCTCGCAGCCGCGATACCAGGCCGCATCCACGCACCCTGATGGGAAGCTTTCCTTGCATTGGCCAGTCTGCTCAGCCCAGCATGGGATCCCAGATCTGCTTGGCTCCGCTTTTCAACACCAAGTTGCTTGGATGCCAAGCGCCCGCAGTCTACATTCGACCATTTGAGCCTGGACCGCGGACTGATGCACGCCTAATTACTCACGCGCCCACTTTCCTGCGTGACGCCCGCCGCTGCTCGTGCAGACACTGGCCGAAATCGACTCGGCCAGACGCATCCAGCACGACGGCATCGTGACCATCCGCGCTGTTGTCGTCGGCCGCACCACCTTTTCAATCGTCTACGAGGACGGCGGCCGCAGCCTGGTCGCGGGGGCGGCGGCCTGGCGCTACGCGGCGTCGCTTTCGCGCTCGGCGGTGCCCGTGATGCTGCAGGCCATCGTGCGACAGCTGGGGCCGGCGATTGCGGAGCTGCACAGGGTGAGGTTCGGCGGGTCCCGCCCACCTGTGCAGTCAGCACACGGCAGCACCCGCCTGGCCGATGCGGCTCCTGCCCAGTGTTTTTGTTTTTACCCTGCAACACTTCGGCGGCAGCAAATTGCTTGTCGACATACATGCGACCCAAAACGCAACTCAGGACCCCTGACCGCATCTGAACCTCTGCCGCTGCCCACATACCCCTCAAAACCCACAGAACGGCTATGTGCACGGCAACCTGAACCAGACTACGATTGTCACGAACGTCACCCTCGGAGCCACCCGCATCCGCATCGCCAGCCTGTCCACCGCCTGCCCGTCGGCGCCAGACGCGCCGCCGGTCGTTACTGACCTTTCTTACACCTCCCCAGAAGCCGCCCGCGCCATCCTGCTTGCCAACTCACACGGCGCGTCGGGCAGCGCGCGCGCCCTGATGTGCATCGGTCTCACCTTTTCCCCGCCCTGCGACTGCCGCGCCCTCGCCCAGCTGCTGGCTGAGCTGGCGCTCGGCCGCCGCTTCTACGCGGGCGCTGACGTCATCGACGCACTCTCCGCCGCGCGCGCCGTGGCCGCCGACCCGGAGCCCTGGGCCGCGGACCCCGCCTGGCGCAGCCTGCTAGCCGCGCTGCGCGCCTTCGTCGCCGCCCTCGGCCGCGACGACCCGAATGCGCGTGCCACCATTGAGGAGGCTCTGGCGCTGCCCTTTGCCACCATGAACCTCGGCCAGGGGTACTGGTCCCACCAGCCGCCCGCCACGGCGCAGCGGCTCGCGTGCGCTGACGGCGGCTCGGCCGCCTGGGAGCCCACAGCGGCCCTCCTGGACCTCTGCCACAGCTGGGGCAGCTTCTCCAGTAATGCGTCCAAGGTTAGTGCGTCATCACCAGCGCGCGATGGGGCCACTACAGGCGTCAAGAAGGAGGTTTGGGGCTGCAACGACTGCGGAGGAGCAGCGACAGCTGTCGTGGCGATCGTTTGCAATCGGCCGTGCCTCAAGCAGATGCAGCAGAGGGGCGCTGAGCGCACTGACTGCACATCGTCGGCGACAAGCTCTTGGAGGAGCGTCACAAAAGCCGAGGCGCCGTTGTGCGACTCGGCCGCACCCACTCTCATCGGCGCGGCCACGCGCGCCCCTCAGGCCGACGCCGGGACCGCGTGCCTGGCATCTGCGGGTGCCACCTACGACGATAGGCCGGCCTCCGGGCCGGCGGCAGTGGCAGCCCAGCTTGCCGCGCCACAGCAGGAGGCTGTTGAGGAGCAGCAGGCCTCTGCGGCGGCGTTGGCGGCACCTGCACCTGTCAAGCGCAGCCTGCTGCGGCGCGGGCTGCGCAAGATTCAGAAGCGTGCACACGAGGCGGGAGGGCGCGTGGCGCTGGGGCTGGCGCGGCTGGTGGCCCCCCTGACGGTGTGCTGCGGGGCGTCCACCTTTCGCATGCCCATGTGAAGCCGAGGCGCCCCTTGTTGCCTCAGTTGGATTTTTCCCCTAGGGGGCCAAACCCCGACCAAATCTCCGTACAAACCCTGTGGCAGGGCTGGGCCTATTAACGGGGCTGGGTGGGCACATTAAAACGCTCCATGGTGCTGGCGAAGCGGCCATCCAGCACTGACCAAAGCATGGATCAGCAAAACAAGAACCCAGACAGCACTGCAACCCTTCCCTTCCATTCTGGCGCTCAAGCATGCTTGCACCTGCTGTCTATGTGCGCTCAGTCCTGAGGCTACATACGGCGTGGGGGCCGTTCTGGAATGTCTCGCAACGCGCCTCGTCACCTCGTGCCTGCAAAACGGCAGACCCAAAACACCTTGCGTTGTGCCTGATTCAGACGCGCACACTTCCACACCTGGGATGGCATTGGGTGATGGGGCCCGATTGGGTTTGTGGTGTAGGCGAGGGCTAAAAGCCCTCATCTTGTGGAATCTGGCTCTGGCTACCCTGCCTTGCGCACACAGGCGCACTTGCTGTGCGCGGTGGTTGTTCCAACATCTGCACAGCCTTGCACAAGTTCATGCATTTGGCTCCTCTTTTTGCCGTGCTGTGGCTCCTTTCGGTCCAACCAATCAACACATTATGACTGCATGCAACACTCCTGTAGGTTCCGGTGTCATGCAAAAGCAGCGGAATTGCAGACTGCAGTCCACAGGGGCGCGGCCAGCTGGCAAAGGCAAGGGGGTGCTCTTCAACATCTGCAGGGCCCCTTGTCTTCGCTAGACATGCGGTGCATTTTCCTGCCTGCGCCGCCGCAGCACATAAACCTTTGTCAGCATCGTCCCACCGCCACGCCTTGCTCGGCTGGCCGCCCTTCTACCTTTTTGCTTTTTTTGCCATGATATGAGTGCTTGAACCGATTTCGGAAGCTGCATAATCACCTGGGTTCAGCCCTTGGCGTTGCTGCACTCACAGCTGATATGCTGTGGTTGGGGGGCCGAGTGGGGGTGTCGCTGGAGCCAATAGCTTGCAGGCTGACGTGACGATTTTCTTTGTCGCCAGAGAGAGTCAGCCGAAGCAGGCGGCAAGCTGACGTGCATTACTGGTGTCCACTTGTGACCAGTCATGACAGCAAATGTTGCACAAGGCGGTATTAATGGGTAACCAAGAAGCCGCAAATCAGCCGAGCCGAGCCTGCTCACGGGTGCAAGGCGGACAGCCGGGCACGGCGGACTGGATGGATGTGTGAGGGACGAACCAGCAAACGGCATCCTTATAGAGCGCGAGCGTGGCGCGGCCCGCAACGCGACGCGTGCGGTGCACACACCATCGGGGTGTGTGATATGCGGCTGGCGCGCCGATTGCGGGCCGGGCGGCGGAGGGCACATGCAGGTGTGCGTGCGCCCTTGACAAACCAAGGCACCAAGCGAAGCAGGGCCCAACCAACAACACAGAGGCGCGTAACAAACGAAGAATAAAGCCAGCTCAGGCGACCTGCGCCCGACGGCGCACGGGTCGCCGAGGCGGCCACCGCTGCTGGTCGAACAAGCCTCGCCCAGCGAAAGGGCCCCGCACTGGCGCGCGCCCGCAGCCGCGACCGCAGGCGGCCGCGTCGGGCCGAGCCGTCGGCTCTGGACCTGGTGCTGCTGGTCTGGAGCTCTGGCTGGGCTCACAGCTTGGCGCCCGCCATGGTGACGTAGCTGACAAGGACGGTGATGTCATCGAGCTTGCCCCCCACGTACATGTATCCCGCCTGCAGCGCCGAGTAGCTGAAGGGGGACTGGTACTTGGGGTCTGTGGCACGCATGCGCGCGTACCTGGGTGTGTGGAGTGCACAGAGGTAGATTGTATGTGAAGGTGTGTGTACACATGTGTGTGTGTGTGTGTGTGCACACGTATGCGGGCAAACACAATGGTTTAGGAGGTCGCGTGCAGATGGGTGAGCGCTCGTGGAATTGTGAGGGGTTGCGATTCGACAGCTGGCATGCGTGTGAATCAAGAGCAGCGCAAACTAGCTACAACTACACTGTGGAGCTCCTGCCGTGGCCAGCAAAGCTACTGCCACTGAACAAGCGCTGCTGGCCGCTGGCTTGCGTTAGCAGCCCTCCAGAAGGGATGCCCACACCGTATCCTTGCAATGCCGTGGTAGCACCATAGCTGGACGAGCTCGACACACACACACACACACACACACACACACACACGCACACACACACACACACACACGCGCACACATCTCAACGCCACACGCGCCCGCCCGCGCACCTGCAGAGCGTGTTGGCCGCCGCCTCAGGCCCGTCCCCCTGCGCCTTGCAGCGCGCCACGATCGTCGCCGCCTCCTCCGCAAACACATTGTCCCAAAGCCCGTCCGTGCCGCACACGACGACGTCCCCAGGCTGCACCCCCAGCTCGAACCGCATCGCGCTCGCCGGGTGGTCGCTCGCGCCGCCGTCCGCCGAGCCGATCTGGTAGGGGAAGTTGAAGTTGTGCTGCTGCTGCGGCGACTGGAAGGCGGGGAGGCCGTCGCGCACGAGGATGAAGCCGCTGTCGCCGAGGTTGGAGGCGCAGAGGGTGGCGCCGTTTAGGGACAAGATGCAGACCGTTGACGACCCCTGCACGTTGGTGCGGTAATAGGCGCGCTCCAGCACGGCCTGCGGCGACAGCGGGCCGCCGCCGGAGAGGAGCGCCTCGGCCTCCTCCTTGGCGTGCGACATGAGCAGCCGCGCGTACGCGCCCGCGTCGACGCCTATTTCCGCCCAGCCGCCGACGCCGTCGGCGACGCCGACGGCGAGCGGGGGGTCTGATATGAAGAAGGCGTCCTCGCCGCCGCGGTGGGCCTTGTCAGGGTGCGGCAGCATGGAGGCGCCGGAGTGCATCAGGAACGGCGCCGCGGGCGCGGGCGGCGGGCCGCGGGCGCCAGCACGGGCGGCGCCGCTCGCAGGGCCCGTTGGCGCCCCGCTGCTGCTGCTGCTGCTGCTGTCGCCGCCGCCGCCGTCGCCGCCCCTGCCGCCGTTGTCGCCGATGCGACCCGTGCCGTTGCCGGCGCTGCTGCTGCTGCTGCTGGTGGTGCTTGTACCATCGGAGGCGCCCTGGTTGTCAGCTGGACCCGTGCTGCCGGCGGCGCCGCCGCCTGCAGCAGAGCTGCTGCCATCACGCAGGGTGCTGCTGCTGGTGCTCGCCGCGGCGTCGCCCGTGCCGCTGCTACCCGCCTGTTCGGCGGGTGAGGCGCCTGGGCGTGCGGGGGCGTCTGCGCCGCTGGTGCACGTGGCAGCGGCGTCCACGCCTGCTGGCCCCGCTGTGCTGCCAGGGGTCAAGTCCGGGCCCTGAGCGGCAGCTGGCGGGGCGGGCGCCAGCACCGGCGGGGCCGCCGATGCCTCCTCGGACGCCAAGCTGCGCGCGACTGCGTGCATCTTTCGACGCATCAAGGGCGCAGCGATCACCGGCGCGGCCCCGCGCTGTGCGAAGCGCTGAAGCTCGCGTGCTGCCGCTGTGCCTTGCGCCCATGCATGCCGCGGATGCTGGTGGCCCAGCGAGATCGTGTGCATGGCGTGTGGCGTGAACAGAGACGACACTGCGACGCTCCTTCCCTCGGGCAAAAGGAGTCCCGTGCGGGGAGAGGCCGCCAACCCGCGCGACAGGAGGCGCCACCGCAGTAAGGCTCCGAGAGGAGACCTCATTCGCGGTTTTTAAAGCCCGTCGCAGCGTGCGAGCTGCCTGATCCAAGCGCCACAGGCACCTGACGATGAGAGCGGCTGCAGCATGTAAAAATCCCCTTCAAATCAAAATGTATGCCATGAATGAGCGCGACAAATTCAACGCAGCCGCACCAGATGCGGTGGGACGCGTGCGCTGACGCGATTTGGCGGTTCTTTGTTCGCGCTCAGCGGTCACGCTGGTACACCCGCATGGGCCTGCACACGCGCCTGCTCGGCGCGGCGAGAGGCTTGCAACTGGTTGCCTTATATCTTCACAATACAGCCATCACGGGGCGCACCACCTTTGCACAGCGTCTCCCTGGCGCGGGCCATTGAGAAGTTGATGCAGCAGTCACGGTTCCAAGTCCAGTGGCTGCCTGTAAATGCGCATGGTGTCAAATGTCGGTGACAAACCCCCTGCTGTTGTGGGCCATGCTTGATGTGTCTTCGATCGCACGTGTCGCGCAGGTAGGGCTGTGCACAGGAGATGTGTGTGCCGCAATGATGAGAGTGCATCTCGGCTGGGGATGCGCTTTGGCATGAGATTGCTGTGCTGTTGGACGAATCTTTGCAGATTGATGAGTGGCTTGTACGCTCACTGCCATTTACAGCAGTTTGGGTACCGCACTTGCATTCATTGAGCATTCATCCCTGTCGACCAGTCTGCGGCCCATCTCAGCTGGGGCAAGGGCTGGCAATTCTTTGAACTGCACCACATCAGGTACGTCCGTGAGGGTGGGTGACACACGCATGCAACAATTTGGTTTGTCACCTGGTTACACTGGTGCAGCCAGCTTGGCCGTCTCCGTCTCGAGCAAGCGGCCGTGCTGGCGGCTGCACAGCAGGCGCAGCACGGGTCACGCCGAGCAAGTCAAGCGGCAGGTGTGATGTGCGCTCCGACTCCTGAAACGCTTGTGATTTCAGAAGCGACGGGTCTGTGATGGAGCACGCCTCAGTTTTCAAACGATGCTGCTAGCGCGGGAAGGAGATCGCAGAGCGTGCGGTTCGCAGGCCAGCGAATTTGCCTTCTGATGGCTATAGGTTTGCCAGAATCTTTGGCGCCGCTCGCCGCACCACGGGGCGCTCCTGATGGAACGCCACTGCAGCATGGGCACCACAGCAGTGCGCGCTTGCCGCGCGGCGACGCAGCTGCCCGCGAGGTGGGAACTGCGCCGGCGCTGCCGTCTGAGGATGAGGGCAGCGATGGCATGGACATTGACGCGGCACCACAGGTGATGGCCACGCAGCTGGTGGCGGGCTTTGAAATCGACCTGGCAGCTGCGCCTGCCGGCGACGCAGCTCGGGGCAGCTCGGGCTGTGGCAGCGGCGGCAGCAGGGGCGACGGCAGCGGCAGCGGCAGCGGCGGCAGTGGCTTGGCACCCGCAAAGCTGGTGCCGCCGACGCAGGTGGTGTGCGGCAGCAGCGGCCGGGGCTCCAAGGTTGTTGCAGGGCTGGCGCTGTGCCCCCAGCGCCAAGATGAAACAGAAGAAAGGGTGCAGCAAGAGCAACAGCAGCAGCAGCAGCAGCAGCAGCAGCAGCAGCAGCAGCAGCAAGGGCCAGGCGCGCCAGAGCAGCAAGCGAGCCAGCAAAAGCGAGGCGAGGTCAATGATAAATGGGGGGTGTCCCACGAGAATCCTGCCGCTGCTGGCCCCCCTGCTGCTGCCCCTGCTGCTGCTGCTGCCGCTGCTGCTGCCACTGCTGGTGCTCCTGGCGCCGATGCAGGGCGCGCAGCAGGTGCAGTTGCAGTCACACTTGCGGCCCCGCTGGCCCTGCAAGCACCGCTGGCGGCGCCGGCCGCCGGGCTTTCGCCGCAGCCGTTCCGCACCCCAGGCGGCACTGGCGTCTGCCCCGACTCAGAAGAGGGTTCGCCGCCCCCAGGCGCCGCACCGGCGCAGCAGGAGCGGAGCGGGCGCGCCCCCACAAGCGGCGGCCCCGCGACCGCGGAGCGGGGCGGCGGCGGCGCAGGGGGGGCGGAGGCGCGCCTGGGCTCTGGGTCGTCGGGCGCGCGGGGCGGCAGCCCGCCAGTCAGCGGCCGGCAGGCGTGGGTGGAGACGCAGGTTGTTGTGGTGGTGGAGGAGGAGCAGCTGCTGGCAGCTGTGCCCGAGGCGCCGCCGCCGCCGCCGCCGCAGGAGCAGCAGCACGACGAGGAGCGGCAGCAGCACGAGGAGCAGGAGCAGCAGGTCCAGCAGGACGAGGAGCAGCAGCAGGAGCAGCAGGAGCAGGAGGAGCAGCGGTTGTCAGGCGGCCGGCTGTCTCCTGCTGCCGAGAAGGCGAGGTGCGGGGACATGGTGGCGACCCGTGGCGTGCAGGGCTGCGGCGCCCGCCCTGCACGTGCTTCCAACGGCTTGAGCCCCGCCCGCGGCCAACCGCCGGCAGCCGCGACCCCTCCCAAGCAGCTGCCCCCCCGAATTGCGGCGCTGGGCGCCCCGGGGCCCGGCGCCAGCCCAGCCCGCGGCCGGGGCGCCGGTGGCGGCGCCGCCCGCTCGCCTGGGGGCCGTGGCGCAGCGCACAGGGTCCGCGGGACGCCGCCGGGCACGAGCGGGCGCGGGGAGCGGACGAGCCCTCGCGGCAGCACCGCGACGAGCGAGGGGGGCTCGGCGCCGGCGCCGCCGCCAGGGGCGTCGGACGAGCTGCGGGCCGCGTGGCGGGAAGTGGCGGAGCAAGGGGATGGTGCGTGCGCGCGGGCGTGCAGTCCCAATGATGTTCCAAATATGGAGTGTCGGTGCTCTCATGGCTCGCGAAACTGGCATTTACAGATCAGGGAGGGGGAGGGGTGATGTGCCTGCGGGCAAATGCAAGTGCGTCACGCCCCTGCGCCTTATGACACGTGAGAGCTGCTTTCCCCTGCGGTCCCTCTCTGAGAAGAGCGCCGTCATGCTCTCAACTCAATCCGCAACGGCCGACGCGCGGCCCCCGCCCCAGGCTCCTTACCCGCCCCACCGCCGCGACCTCCCACGCGACCTCCGCATGATCTCCCGCGGCCCCCCCACGACCTCCCGCGCCTCCTCGTCTTCCACAACCCAGGGCTGTACGATCCCGAGCTCTGCCTGCAGAGCGTGGTGCACACGGCCGAGGCGCAGGAGGGCATGAAAGCCGCCGGATACAACCCTGCCACGCTGCGGCGCGACGCGGCCGGAGACCCCTCAGTGCTGCGGGTGCGCGGGAAGCCAGGGGGCGGCGGCCCTGGGGCTTTGACTGCGGCGCTTGTGCGGCTGCGCTGCCGCGAGTGACCGCTCCGCCCGCGTTTGAAGTCAAAAGCATGCAAGAATTCGGAATCCGCGACTCGCTGACGCCAGACCCCCATCCCCTTTTTCCGTGTGCCCTGGGGTGCGGACATCACTGGCCCCCCCTTCCAGGCGCTGGTGGCGCTGCAGGCACACCTGCTGCTGGCAAGGAGGCGGCTCGGCCTGGAGGCCGGCTTCGGGCTGGCCGGCGGCTGCGGCGGGGAGGGCGGCGCCGGAGACTGTGGCGGCGGCGGCGAGGGGCCTGCTGGGGAGGGCCTGGATGACGTGGTGGCGCCGAATCTCTCGGTGGGGGGCCGGGGTTGATGTGGAAGTTGGGGGGGCAGTGGGGCCGCAGGGCTGCGCCGGTGGCCTGCACCTGAGGACGAGAGAGGGGCGGGCTGCCGTAGCGCCGCCGCGCGGCGGCTGGTGGGGGCAACGGCGCGGCAACCGCGCGGCAGGCGGGGCCACTAGCAATTTGACATATTGCGCCGACAGCCCGGGTCGCGTGCTGCTTCGTAGCTTTGAACATGTGGTGTTTTTTGTTATCCTGGTGCGCAGGAGGTGCAGATCAACCACATCCCATACCCCGAAGACGAGGAGGAGGAGGACGAGGAAGAAGGCGAGGGCCGCGGCGGCGGCGAGGGCGGGGGGCAGCAGCAGGGCAGCGGCAGCGGCGGTGCGGAGGCGGGGCCCGGCAGGGCGTCACCTGATGACGTCGTCGAGGAGCTGCTGACTCAGCACGCGACGCAGGGCCGTCGCCGGCGGCAGCTGCTGCGGCGGCGGCAGCGGCAGCAGCTGCCGCTGCAGCAGCCGGCGGGGGCGGGGGCGGCGGGGGCGGCAGAAGGGGCCCCACGGGGGAGCGGGCGCATGAGCGAGGGGCTCGCGGGCGTCAGCGGCCCTGGCGGTGGCGCGGCTTTGCCGGCGGTGCAGGACGGGTCAAAGGGCTGCGCGCCGGCCGCCGCCCTGGAGGGGGACGCGGCCGCGCCTGCTGGCGCCGCAGAGCAGGAGCAGGGCCTGCCCGACCTTGGCG